AAAATGGTTTGAACTAAAAACACTGTGATTATCAAACATTTGTAAAATAGTAATGATAATAGAAAAGAGAGTGTTCTTTCACTTGATTCAAGAAAGAAAGTCTCAGGATGGGTCAACCTGTATTTCTGGATTCAAATCAATGAAATGACAGTTTCTGTCCCATACGGTCCCTAAGGTCAGGACTTTGACCTCAGGCCTAGTTCACTACAATATATATGTGATATGTGTATATATGTATGTATATGTATATATGTATCTATATATGTATCTATATGTGTATATATATGTGTATATATGTATATATATGTATATGTATATATATATGTATATATGTTTTTTGATTGTCTACTGTTGTACTGATATCTCCTGGAGGGTGAACTACGTCTTGGCTGCAAGTATCAAGCAGAGATATCGTTCGTTTTCTACAACTGATAGTGGTTGGTCATTAATTATGATTAAGTTTAGCAACTTCTTGGTAAATATTCGAGCTCCATGTCTTCAGCGATGTGTTTTTCTTTTTCATTCCAAACCAAACAGTCTGATCTCTGTCAGCCGTGTTCAGTCTGTCCCTCCTCAAAGACCGGCAGACTGAATGGGGGACCATGGACGCGGCTGGCCGGGGTCGGGCTGCCTGCTACGGGTTCAGCGAGAGGAGCAGACCACTGAAGCCACGGAGCTCGAATTTCCATTGTAAAACTGTGGTTTAATGTGGTGCTATTGCTCTGCAGACATTGTACCTTGCTGTCTTGTTTTGTGGTGTTTCTAGTGTAAAATACTTCCACACAGCAGACATGTTTCAATGAAAAGTTTGTTAGCTGTTAGCCACAGTGCTGCTAACTCAGTCCTCATGTTTAACTGGCTGCAAACTATGAAATGGATTTCCTGAATGTGAGGCGGGTCTTATTACTCTGGGTTCATGAGACACGCCGCTGTTCAGGAAATCCATTCCATAGTTTGAAACCAACGTGCATCATGGATCAGAAATATCTGCAGGTTGGATCTGAAAAATTCGATACGTAAATTATGCTGGTATCGATAGGAGGCCGATACGGATACTGGATCAGATTGGCCCCATCCCTACTTTTAACTTTGTACCGATAGAGTGATGTATGAATGGGTAAATGAGGGCTGAGATTTAATGTAAAGCGCTTTGAGTATCTTGATAAGTTAGAAAGACTCTATGTACTGTAAATACAGTCCATTTACCATATGTGGCAAAACTGTACACCCATCACCATTCATCTCATGTTCGGAGTGGTCCCTGTGGATACGTCTTTCAGCAAGTACGAAAAAGATGTGATTGCTTGGCTTGTGCAGTTGGAAGGACCCACACCCCCCTGCATATGTTCACTGGATAAGAGACGTGATGCATCATATTCAATTAGAAAAAAATTATATACCCTGAAGGGTTCTGTTATAAGATTTTGGGACATTTGGAAGCCTTTTATGTTGTATGTGGAAAACTTGTCAATGCCTGTTTAGTTTATTTGTGTGTGACTGATCCAGTGTGGGAGGGATTTTTGCTCTTTGTGTTCTCCTTTTTTGTTTGTATGTTCAAAAATCCACAAATCAATAAAAAGACTTTGATTTTTAATTTTTTTTTTTTTTTTTTTTTTAAAGCTTAATTTCGCCTCCCTACCAAAAATTGATTATGGCTCGTAATTTAACCGAATTTAACAAGCAGGTGAAATGAAGCATTAAAGTTCATTTATTAAGGAAAAAGTAAACAGAGACACACCTTTGCTATTATCTCAAGCAAACAAGTAATTGTTTTTTTGGTGTTAATCTTTAGTTCAGTTCTATTAAACTACAAGCCATAATCAATTTTTGGCAGCCCGTAATCGATCTTTGGTAGACAGGTGAAATTAAGCTTTTTTGACCATTAAAGTACATTTTTTTAAGGAAAAGATAAACGGAGACACACCTTTGCTAATATCTCGAGCAAACAAATAATTTTTTTTAGGTGTTAATGTTCTTAAATTTCGAAGAACTGAAACTGTGAGTCCTCTCGTGTGTGCTCAGATGGCGTCAATCGATTTTTGCAGACCATCACTTTTTGGCATGTGTGTCATCTTTTATGCTATGCTCTCACATGAATATCTCTCTATCTATGGTAAAAACTGCAAAATCATGATGTACGTCATTAAAGTTCATGATGTGCGTAATTCTTTGTACAAGAGAACCAGAGACTGTTGCAATCTTGCTGGAACAGACCACTGTCAGTTGGGGCAGTGACCGAAAAAACGAGACCATGCCAGACCACACCCAGGAACATCGGCTAATCCAGAGAAACAACATCACGATAAAGAATCCCAATGTAACTGATAATGCTGTATTTAAACGAAGCAAAGATACTTGTAACTCAGACGTGTTTTTGATGGATATGAGGTACATGTGAGACCGTCTCCCTTTCCAGTGCTGTAAAGGTAAAATAAATCTTTGTCTGAATTCAGAACCACTTCTCAAGCTGTTGTTTTTGACTCTGTCTTCCTTCCACTGCACGATCTCAAGTTGAGGCAGTTTTGAGCTAAGTGTCTTGAAGGTTGTTTTTCATAGTCTGAAGACCTCAACAATTTGGTGGAGGATGTGGACAGTGTGAATGGAAGACAGGAGTAATTGCTAAATGTGAATTGAATCCAGGTAAACAGACTATGCGCACCTACACGTGCCGGTGAAAAACAAGGGGAATTTTCCTCACAGTGTGGCCGTGCAGTGTCATTTTTCCTGCTAATATTAACAGCCTTGATTGTGGTGAAGTGATTTGGTTGTTTTAAGAAGTTGATATTGTTTAAACCGGTATTGAGAGAAAGAGTTTGGAAAAATAGTTTGTGTGAGTCAGCAGACAGGTCTGGGACCTGCAAGTCGGGAAGTTGGCATTTCCCACTTTCTACTGGATGCGGGGAGAGATGATTGCTGGGTTTTGATTGAGTTTTCCCGTGAAAGTGACTATTCACAAATAATAACAAGAAGTTTAATACACTTGAAAAAATAAGAGAAAGCGCTAAGAGTCCCTCAGAGATCCATACATGGTGATACCATACCATACCATACCATACCA